ACGAGTGCTAAGGTTTTTGCTGGGAAATCATTTATAATATATAATTAAAAGTAATATAATATATAGGAAATAATCATCATCAGTATATAATATTTTATAATATACGGGAAATAAGATAAAGAAGAAATAATCATCTTCAATATATAATGTAATGTAATCCAATTCAATACAATACAATATCATATAATATAATAGGTGCCAAGGTATTTGCAAAAAAATAAAATCTGATTTTCATGAACTAATGATGCTCGGTTCTTGAATGTCGACACACTCTTCTATAACGCTCAATAAAATAATAAGACATCAATGTTGATGTCTTCACTGGTTGCACACAACAACAAACAAACGACACCCACACAACTAGTAGAGTTCGATTGGCGAGTGAATGATTCTTATGAGAGCATAAACATAGCAAATGCTCAAGCAGTATGGGGCCGATGGCGAGCACCAAACGTAACTGTGAAAATAATGAATAAAAGCGATCTAAGACCTGCCTGATGCAAGCGTGCCTTTGTTCCCCAACAAAAGTGACCCGCTCGCAGCGGAGGGAGCAAAACACGGATGAAGGAAACGGCGGAGTGAAGGTTGCTAGGAGGGGAGAGCGTATAAATCTGGGCTGTAATCTCCCTCTCGCACTCGCTGGCAGCCGTCTCCTCCGCTCCTCATCCTCAGCCTACCTGACCGCCGGTGTCAGATTAAGTGTCCGGGATTTAATGAAACGGTCTTCACATTATCTCGCCTGTCAGGGAGGAAGAGGAGGGGGCAGCCTTCATAACGAAGGCTTCTCCAATTACGCCAGGGCTTAGAGGGCCTGACAGGCGTAATGATTCATCTGAGAGAGGGAGAGAGAGAAGATGTGCCCCTCCGATCTCGCTCTCCTCCTCTTTTTAATGAACCAGGGCTTCTCCACGGCTTCTTGGGGGGTGTAAGAACTCTGAAAATGGCGGCAGAGTTGAGGAGCTTGCCCGTAAAAAACACCTCCAGCATTTATCTGGATCAAGTCTCAGCCTCGGTCAACACGTCCACGTCCAAATAGCCAAAAACACAAAAATAAAATCATGAGAGCTTAACAAAGCTCCAAACAGATTGCCTTACTTGGCGAAGCAACTCACAGGAATCAGGATGCACAGGTTTTTCGATAAAATAAAAAAAGTAAAATAAAGTAAAATTAAATAAAATAAAAAATATGGATGCAAAGGATTTTTGTTGAGAACTAATAATGACAATAATGATAATAGTAATAATAAAAATTATAATATATAATATAACGTAGGCCCAAAGGGTTTTATAAGGTGTTATAATAATAATAATAATAAAAAATTAAAAATATGGGTCAAAAGGTCTTTTGCTGAGAATAATATAACATAATATAATATAAGGTTCAAAGTGTTTTATAAGGTGTTAATAATAATAATAATAATAATAATAATATAAAATATGGGTGCAAAGGTCTTTTGCTGGGAAAAAAATTATTCAGTAAAAAATTTAATCAAATATAATATAATAGAAATGAAAAAACAGACACATTTTTCTCAAATTTTCTTTAGTGTAACTGTTTGCTTCCCTTCCATTATTGTGGTATCAATGCTTTCAAATTTATCCTAAATATTACATAAAGCAACAGAGCAGAGCTTGCTTTGTTTTACATGTTGGTCATATGCTCTCTTCCTGTCTTCGTGAGCTGTTTTTGGCCAAATTAATCTGTAAACCAGACCAGACCACACTAGAAATGCATCTGAAATAAACAATACATATTACAAACTGGATGTCCCTTAAATTCTGTGGGATGCAACATTATAAGTGTTTAAGTCTCGTGTTGGTTGGGAGCCCCCATCCAGGGGCCACTTCCCTTTGACACAAAGAGGGCCTCTCTTCCCCTTCCTGCAGCCTCTCCTCATCCTCCGTCAAACAAAAATGTGACACAGGAGGCCTCACTGCACACAAACGCCGGCTAATCTTGTTCAGCCCCGCAAATTCCTTGTAGTCACACCATCAGCTCGGACACAAAAGCATCAGCCCTTAAAACTTTCAAACGGGGGACAGAAACATACTCTACACAAGTACTTAAACATTTGGGGTTGTTATGATTTTTTTAATGCTTTTGAAGTCTCTTCTGCTCACCAAGGCTGCATTTATTTGATAAAAAAAAACTTTAAATTACACTTTAAAACAACCATTTTCTATTTTAATATATTGTAACATTTTATTTATTCCTGTGATGCAAAGCTGCATTTTCAGCATCATCACTCCAGTCTCCAGAATGTACAAAAGATTTACTTGAAATAGAAATCTTTTCTTACATTAGAAATGTCTTTTCTCTCACTTTTGATCAATTGAATGCACCCTTGCTGAATAAAAGTCTTAATTTGATCATATGATGTTGCTAAAAAGAACATTATTTTGTGTATTTGGTGTAATGAAATGTGTTTATGCGGTTTAAGGTTTTTAAGGAAGCAAATCTTCCCACACAGTGACGTAGACATGTGGGGGCGTGTTTAAACGAGGCATTTTAGGAGGGCGTGGACCAGTCTTAACTTTTATAAAGAATATCTCTTTGGGTTTGAGACTTTAGTCTTTGCAACTTCAGGGATCTTATCTATTCACAAACAGCTTGTAACACTCCAAAGAGAAAGGAAAACTTGAAATCGCATCATATGACCCCTTTAAAAAAAATGGTAATGAACAATAGTGTAAATGCTAATGCTTGGCCAATGCATTGCTTGCTCTCTAAAAGCAGATAAAGTACAAGCTTACTCTAATGCATGCAACAACACCAGTGCAAAAACACTGAGAAAAATCTCGCCTGCACCACATTATGAACTGCATTTGGCCACATTTCAACACATAAGATCAAGCTTGAGTATCTAGAATCGTTTGCGTTCACATACTTGCATAGTTATCTCATCAAATGCTTGAACGTCCGATTTTCAGGTCCATTGGTCTAGTGCTTATCTCCCTCTCTGCTTCTGCGCTTGGCACCCAGGGACCTGGACGCCAGCAATTGTGCCCACTGCTGCCGAGTGCCAAGGCAAAATTGATGAAACATCACAGGATTTGAGAATTGGCATGCTGACACGATGCGGCGAGCCAGTCACAATTAAAATTACACGTCCTTCCAAATTTTACCGCTTTCATTCCAATAGTGCTGATAGCAGGAGATTGAGATGGAAAGGCGGAAAAAGTATGATATATTCCTTATATATACACTACGCTATGTGGATTGAATGGCAATTCAGTGCGTTTTGATCCAGTTACAGTAATTGAAGCAATAGGAGGAGGACACAGCACTTCGGAAACGGTCTAAAGTGCGTCGCCGGTTTCTAGTGCTTGGGTTCGCTTGTGTGCTTGCCACAGTATATTTTAGACGGAAACACCCAAGAGGGTTTTAAGTGGGAAAAGAATATGCAATATTGATCAAGAGCAAAAGCTACGAATATGCAATCTGGCAATGGCAGCATCCTCTAAATGGCCGTCTTCAGAGACGCAGGTGGATTTTAAACGAAGATCCACACAGACGCTGAGTGCAGTGAAGACGGAAAAAAAACAAAGATTCAGCTGAAATTCGGGTGCTGAATGCAAAATGTTTGTTGTTTATGTTGTTCTCACCTAACTCATCCCACAGCTGCCGGTATTTGTCCGTCATGGTGGTTCCCTGCTGCCGCCACAGAGCCAGCCGCGGGTCGGCCATGAACTGCTCTGTGATTAGCGTTAGCATGCGAGCGCCATTTGAGTCCCGCATCTTCAGCATCTCCCGTACCTGCAGAACACATGCAAACACACACAAGATTTAAGCACATGCACCAAAAGTGCCAAAAATATATCCAAAACAGACATGATTAACAGTGATGAATCCTCCACGTTTAATGTTAATCTGCACTTTTGTTGACAGAAAAAAAGTGCTTCATTCAGATTTGAATCATGCAAAACACACTACCATTCAGTAGTGTACCGTTAGTTTGGGGTTGTTAATATTTTTTTATAAGTCGCCTCTTATCCTCAACCAAGGCTGCATTTATATGACCAAATATTATTACAATTTAAAATAACTGTTTTCTATGTGAATATATTGTCAAATGTAATTTACTTCTGTGATCAAATCTGAATTTTCAGCATCATTCCTCCAGTCTTCAGTGTCACATGATCCTTCAGAAATCATTCTAATATGCTGATTTGCTGCTCAACAAATATTTCTGATTATTATCGATGTTGAAAACAGTTGTGTTGCTTCATATTTTTGTGGAAATTGTGATACATTTTCTTTTTCAGGATTATTTAATGAATAGAAAGTTCAAAAGAACACCATTCATTTTTATAACATAACAAATGTCACTTTTGCTCAATTTAATGCATTTTTACAGAATTAAATAATTCATTTCTTGACCTGGACGCCAGCAATTGTGCCCACTGCTGCCGAGTGCCAAGGCAAAATTGATGAAACATCACAGGATTTGAGAATTGGCATGCTGACACGATGCGGCGAGCCAGTCACAATTAAAATTACACGTCCTTCCAAATTTTACCGCTTTCATTCCAATAGTGCTGATAGCAGGAGATTGAGATGGAAAGGCGGAAAAAGTATGATATATTCCTTATATATACACTACGCTATGTGGATTGAATGGCAATTCAGTGCGTTTTGATCCAGTTACAGTAATTGAAGCAATAGGAGGAGGACACAGCACTTCGGAAACGGTCTAAAGTGCGTCACCGGTTTCTAGTGCTTGGGTTCGCTTGTGTGCTTGCCACAGTATATTTTAGACGGAAACACCCAAGAGGGTTTTAAGTGGGAAAAGAATATGCAATATTGATCAAGAGCAAAAGCTACGAATATGCAATCTGGCAATGGCAGCATCCTCTAAATGGCCGTCCTCAGAGACGCAGGTGGATTTTAAACGAAGATCCACACAGACGCTGAGTGCAGTGAAGACGGAAAAAAAACAAAGATTCAGCTGAAATTCGGGTGCTGAATGCAAAATGTTTGTTGTTTATGTTGTTCTCACCTAACTCATCCCACAGCTGCCGGTATTTGTCCGTCATGGTGGTTCCCTGCTGCCGCCACAGAGCCAGCCGCGGGTCGGCCATGAACTGCTCTGTGATTAGCGTTAGCATGCGAGCGCCATTTGAGTCCCGCATCTTCAGCATCTCCCGTACCTGCAGAACACATGCAAACACACACAAGATTTAAGCACATGCACCAAAAGTGCCAAAAATATATCCAAAACAGACATGATTAACAGTGATGAATCCTCCACGTTTAATGTTAATCTGCACTTTTGTTGACAGAAAAAAAGTGCTTCATTCAGATTTGAATCATGCAAAACACACTACCATTCAGTAGTGTACCGTTAGTTTGGGGTTGTTAATATTTTTTTATAAGTCGCCTCTTATCCTCAACCAAGGCTGCATTTATATGACCAAATATTATTACAATTTAAAATAACTGTTTTCTATGTGAATATATTGTCAAATGTAATTTACTTCTGTGATCAAATCTGAATTTTCAGCATCATTCCTCCAGTCTTCAGTGTCACATGATCCTTCAGAAATCATTCTAATATGCTGATTTGCTGCTCAACAAATATTTCTGATTATTATCGATGTTGAAAACAGTTGTGTTGCTTCATATTTTTGTGGAAATTGTGATACATTTTCTTTTTCAGGATTATTTAATGAATAGAAAGTTCAAAAGAACACCATTCATTTTTATAACATAACAAATGTCACTTTTGCTCAATTTAATGCATTTTTACAGAATTAAATAATTAATTTCTTTCAACTGACCCCAAACTTTAAACAGTAGTGTAGCTCCACCCACAGTGAAATCTCATTGGTTCAAAATTTCACTCAATTTAGGCATTAAACATTAAATGTTGTTTAATTGGCTTTGATTTTGTAGCATCGTGAAGTATTTTATTTTCAAACAGAATAAAAAATTTTTCAAGGTCACGTCATGCATGAAGTATTTTGTTGTTCTGTTTGAACCCAACAGAAGATATTTTAAAGAATGTTGGTAACCAAACAATTTTGGAGGTGAATGGCTACCGTCAACTGTTTAGTTAACAACACTCTTCAAAATATCTTCTTTTGAGCCAAAAAGAAGAAAGAAACTCGTAGAGGTTTGGAACAACATGAGGGTGAGTAAATGCTGACAGAATTTTCATTGTTGTCTGAACTATCCCTTTAAATCGGTGCTTCAGCCCACCTTTGAGAACAGGAGATTGAGCTGTTTGCCCGAGCCATGGTAGCCCCCCTGGGACAGGAAGAGTTTGACCTGCTCCTGGACCTGCTCCTCGTCCAAATGCCAGCAGTTCTCATCGTCCACGCTGGCCCCCGCCGTGGGGTCCGGGGCCCCTGATTTACAAACATACAACCAAGCGATCAGTGAACAACATGGTAAACATTAAATCGCTCACATATGCATAGCAGCATATTTTTATTATTATTAGGTAATTTTATTCCTTATTTAATTTATTTTAATATAATATATTTTATTAGAATAATATATAACAAAATATATTTGATTATAATTATTTTTAATTAAAATATATTAGTGTCATTAACATACAGAAATGTCAAAAACAGCTTGTTTAAATTTACTAAACAAATAAATAATTTTTAATCAAAAGATTTTATTAAGTATTTTTATTTATAATATATTTGATAAATTATATAAAATATATAAATCAGTGTCATAAATCAGAAAACCGATGGAAACCATGATACATTTTCTTAGTCAGGATTCTTTAATGAATAGAAAGTTCAAAAGAACAGCATTCATTTTTGTTTATAATAAACGTCACTTTTGCTCAATTTAATGCATTTTTGCCGAATAAAATAAAATTGATTTCAAATGACCCCAAACTTTTAAACAGTAGTGTAGCTCCACCCACACAGAAACGTAATTGGTCCTAAGTTCCACTCAACTTTTGCATTAAACATGAAATGTTTTTTGATTGGCCTTGATTTTGTAGCTTCTTAAAGTATTTTATTTGCAAACAGAACACTTTTTTTTTGGTTCAAGGTTGCGTCATGCCTGGTTAGGACATCTTTTATGAGACCATCCAGACAGGACGCATTGCATTTTATTCAAATGTAATGAGTGAGTTTATACTAGCATGCTAAATTTCAAGCGTTTCATTATTTGATCGCTTAAAATGCTAATGCAGTGATGTGGAAAAGGTCAAATCATCCTGAGTGGCTCCTGGAACTTCAGCCCACCTTTGAGAACAGGAGATTGAGCTGTTTGCCCGAGCCATGGTATCCCCCCTGGGACAGGAAGAGTTTGACCTGCTCCTGGACCTGCTCCTCGTCCAAATGCCAGCAGTTCTCATCGTCCACGCTGGCCCCCGCCGTGGGGTCCGGGGCCCCTGATTTACAAACATACAACCAAGCGATCAGTGAACAACATGGTGATGCTTATGTTGACCAAATGGGATTTTCGCTCAATAAAGCCCATAAAATGAGGCATTACAGTTTATAGTAATGGAAAAATCAAAACCAGAGATTATTTATCAGCCAAAATGCTTCAACGCAATTAGTGCAATCAACACAGAGCCTTAATGCAATGCAGAAGCGCGCTGGTGTTCGAGAAGGAAACCCCCGAACCCCAAACAGCGGCTGATGATTTAAGCGCCACCGACAATGCTGAGGGTCTATAGTAAAGATTTATTAGACGCCACATCAAACCAACTTCCTGCATTCCAGCCGTGACCTCACACAGGCCCCCCCCGTTCTGCAATGTGCTTTTTGCTGATGCTTTTCCCCCCCTATAACTGGCACATCCGCTTTAGATTTCCCCTTCCCGACAAAAGTGAAATATAATATGACCATTGTGCCTAATGCCGAAACGATAAGAGAGACTAGAAGTGTCTTTCATTCCCTTTAGATTTGTCATCAGGGTCTGGGACCATAATACTCATTCCAACAGCTCCAGGCCGCGGCAGAGCCTAGAAACAGTGCTAATGCTAATGTGCATGTGCTTTACAAAATCAGCCAACTCATTTTTTAAAGGGTTCCATTATGGAAATTAGGATTTTGTTTGATATTTTTAAGTTCAGGGGATCTACTGAAGCGAAGCCTTAAAGGGTTAGTTCACCCAAAAATCCTCGAAGCATCCTAGGTGTATATGACTTTCTTCTTTCAGATGAATCCAGTCGGAGTTATATAAAAAATTGTCCTGGCTATTCCAAGCTCTATCGTTGCAGTCAGCAGGTGTTGCAGTTGAACAGTCCACAAGTCGTCAAATAAAGCTCGCGCATTCATAATAAAACGTGCCGCAGCGGCTCCGGGGGGTGAATAAAGGCCCCCTGTAGCGAATCCATGTGTTTTTTAAAGAAAAATATCCATATTTCAAACGTAATAAACACTTTTCTCTCACTTCAGTTATCTGTCATGCGCGGAAGCTGTTCCGGCGGATGACGCAGCACGTATGCGCAGCGCGCGCGCGCCTCTGAGATACACTAGTCTCGCGAGTTTGTTTATAGGAGCAAAGGAAGCACCACATCAAACCAACTTCCTGCATTCCAGCCGTGACCTCACACAGGCCCCCCCCGTTCTGCAATGTGCTTTTTGCTGATGCTTTTCCCCCCCTATAACTGGCACATCCGCTTTAGATTTCCCCTTCCCGACAAAAGTGAAATATAATATGACCATTGTGCCTAATGCCGAAACGATAAGAGAGACTAGAAGTGTCTTTCATTCCCTTTAGATTTGTCATCAGGGTCTGGGACCATAATACTCATTCCAACAGCTCCAGGCCGCGGCAGAGCCTAGAAACAGTGCTAATGCTAATGTGCATGTGCTTTACAAAATCAGCCAACTCATTTTTTAAAGGGTTCCATTATGGAAATTAGGATTTTGTTTGATATTTTCAAGTTCAGGGGATCTACTGAAGCGAAGCCTTAAAGGGTTAGTTCACCCAAAAATCCTCGAAGCATCCTAGGTGTATATGACTTTCTTCTTTCAGATGAATCCAGTCGGAGTTATATTAAATATTGTCCTGGCTATTCCAAGCTCTATCGTTGCAGTCCGCAGGTGTTGCAGTTGAACAGTCCACAAGTCGTCAAATAAAGCTCGCGCATTCATAATAAAACGTGCCGCAGCGGCTCCGGGGGGTGAATAAAGGCCCCCTGTAGCGAATCCATGTGTTTTTTAAAGAAAAATATCCATATTTCAAACGTAATAAACACTTTTCTCTCACTTCAGTTATCTGTCATGCGCGGAAGCTGTTCCGGCGGATGACGCAGCACGTATGCGCAGCGCGCGCGCGCCTCTGAGATACACTAGTCTCGCGAGTTTGTTTATAGGAGCAAAGGAAGCAAAGTTTCCTTACTTTAGCAAAGGAAAACCAGTCTCCTTTTGGCTTATATCCAAATCCTCCGACATTTTTCTTTGAAAATCCTTGGTTTGTACTTCTAATTCGTGACCGGCGTTTTGTTTTGTTCTCTCTCCGCATTCGTCACTAATCACGCAACGCCGCACGTCTTACGTCATCCGCCGGAACTGGTTCAGTGAATGACAGTCAGCGGAAGTGAGAGAAAAGTGCTTATTGCATTTGAAATATGGATATTTTTCTTACAAAAACACATGGATTCGCAACAGCGGGCCTTTATTCATCCCCCGGAGCAGTCATTTTATTATGAATGCGCGCGCTTTATTTGACGACTTGTGGACTGTTCAACTGCAACACCTGCTGACTGCAACGATAGAGCTTGGAATAGCCAGGACAATATTTAATATAACTCCGACTGGATTCATCTGAAAGAAGAAAGTCATATACACCTAGGATGCCTCTGGGGTGAGTAAAACACAAGCTAATTTTCATTTTTGGGTGAACTAACCCTTTAAGACGATATCTTCATGTTTGTGATCCACATTTAGGAGCTAATTAATATTACTGACGATGGAAAACTGGATAATCAAAGGTCATTAATATACAGAAATCTTAAAGGTGCAGTAGAAAAAACAGCTTGTTTAATTTGAAGGATCAGAAAGAGGGGATGGGAAATTATTTATGTCAAATAAATCACTAAATTATTGAAGTAAAAAATTGCAACTAAATAATAATAATAATAATAGTAATAATAATAATAATCATCATCCAGGTGGATGCTGCACACTGGTGGTGGATGAGGAGATACCCCCTGACAATGTAAAGCGCTTTGAGTGCCTAGAAAAGCGCTATATAAATATAATGAATTATTAATAATAAATAATGAATAATAAAAGCAAAAATGTATTAAAAATTATAAATTTGGAAAATAATTACCTCAAGAATAAAAAAAGCTACAAAATAAAGAATTTTGTTATTAAAAAACAGACAATCTATATTAAATTCAAAATAATAAAAATAAAAAAAAAGATAAATTATAAATTCTGTATTTTATTTATTTGTATCTTTATTTAACAAAAATAAATATAAAACTACCCTTTAAAAAAAAGATTTTTCAAAAGTTGTAAATAAAACAAATACTACTGGAGTGCATTTTACAAGAAAATACCATTTCTGTCCTTCTACTTCAAAATTTCACGTTTAATTCTAGTGTTACTCGCCGTTTCTTTGTAATTATTTGTTGTTGTAATGTAATTTTGGAAATCGTTTCATAGTAATTCCTACACCATTTCAGGGTATGAAATAAATAAAAAATATTATTATGAATAATATTAAAAGAATAATAAAAAATAAAAACGGTATAAAAATTATAAATAAGGAATAGAATTATCTTAAGAATAAAAAAAGTGCTAAAAATTCAGAATATGGCCCCTCTGCCGTTATAACAAAACAAACAAAATACAGACAATCTATTTTAAACTCAACATAACAAAAATAAATCAATACATAAAAAGGATACATTTTTATATATTTATTTATTTTTAATATTTATTTTATAAAATACAAAAATAAAAAAAAGACATTTGTATAAATTATATTATGTTATATTATATGTGACCCCGGACCACAAAACCAGTCATAAGGGTCAATTAAAGGTCAAGGGTCAAGCAAATAAATAATCTTTCCATTGATGTATGGTTTGTTAGGATAGGACAATATTTGGCTGAGATACAACTATTTGAAAATCTGGAATCTGAGGGTGCAAAAAAATCTAAATATTGAGAAAATCGGCTTTAAAGTTGTCCAAATGAAGTTCTTAGCCATGCATATTACTAATTACTATTATTACTATTACTAAAAAATTAAGTTTTGATACATTTACAGTAGGAAATTTACAAAATATCTTCATGGGACATGATCTTTACTTAATATCCTAATGATTTTTGGCATAAAAGAAAAACACTTTTTTTTTTTTGACCCATACAATGTATTTTTGGCTATTTCTACAAATATACCCCAGCGACTTAAGACTGCTTTTGTGGTCCGGGATCACATATTATATTATTATAGAAACTACATAACTACAAAAGACAGTGAGTTTAGCCTAGTTGTGGTAGTTAGCTTTGTTAGACAGTAGGAATGTCAAGTAGTAATGCTCTTGATATCGAGAGTGCTTCAAGCGCTCACCGTGCACTTGATTGATCTCGGAGTTCTGCGAGAGAATCTCGTCGGCTAGTTTCTGGGCCGTGGGCAGCACTTCCGTGTGGTGGACGGTGATGAGATACTGCACAAACTTCTGCAACTGGTCCCTGTTCATCTGGAATAGAGTCTCTGAGATGGGGAGGTGAAGTTTGACCTGTTCGGGCCGCCGTACACGGTACAAGGACAGCGCCACCACATGGGCACAGTAGAAGATGTCCTTGTTTCCACAGCCGCACGTTACGGAGGTGATCTTGCAGCGGTCGAAGCTAATGGCTACGCTGCACACTATCTCAGGTTCTGACGGTGTGGCCGGTTCTGTTACTGTGCCGCTCAAATGGAAACCTGAGAGACAGAGAGAGAGAAAGAGTTAATATTTTGGATACGGTGTATGCTATATTTTTCAACTGATCGGACAGTCCAAAAAGTTCCATAAATGTTTTCTGACTATATTTTCACCAAAAACTTTGATGCTACACTAAGCAAACTCTGCATTTTAAATGAGCAGGCTTTATTTTTCCAAACTGATCAGTTTTCCTCTAGTCTAGTGGATTATCAAACAAACAAACAAATAAATAAACAGAAAAAAATAAATAATAAACAAAATAAATATTTAAATAAATTTTAAATTTTAAAAACTAAAAGGCAAAAGAAAAAAATTAACACTTAAAAATAAAATTTAAAAAATTACATTTAAAAATACATATAAAATGAAAAAAAAAAAAAAAAAAAAAAAACTTA